TAGGGTTAGGGTTAGGGTTAGGGTTAGGGTTAGGGTTAGGGTTAGGGTTAGGGTTAGGGGGTTGAAGAGCTCCCCTACCTTTGTGCCAGCAAAGTACGTCCATAAAACATTGTAATCACCCTCAAACCCCATCCATATAACTTGAAATCTCTTTAACACCAATGACCTTCAAAATTATAAACATTATTCTGACCTGGCATCCATCCAACCCAGCAGGAAAGTCAAGGACTCTTCGGTGACGGACTAGTGATGTATCCTGGTGAGTCACGGAGGTGAACCCCGCCAATATTTCCCAAGAGGTCAAATCAACCACAGTTGGAGCCGGTTGACCCAATGCGTGTTTACCATAGATCCAGGAAAATGAAAAGATGAGCAGAAATACTAACATCTCTAAACGGTGTTGGGGGTCATGCAAGCTGACTACTATTCATTTTACCATGCTGTGTCAGCTGACTAATACCGCACAATGCTGATCGGAAAAGTAGATACTCACAATCTTTGAATTCAAATGTGAATTTTTTCGTCTATGTAGCTTATACTTTTCATTGTTTTTTATACAGGAGCTCATGAAAGCTGATGAAAGTTAACAATAAGAAACGAACCCCAGCTGGGTGCAATCAACGATACATGTTACTATATTCTATACTCCAGTCAATAAGATGCAAATTAAGTGACTAATTTTAAAATCTTATTATAATTCAGCTGAGAATCAAACCCAAAACCCCCGATCCAGATTTGAACCCCGAATCCAACGATTGCTATAATAGCACTATCGGTTGTGGCATTTAAGAAAAATCAAGTAGTATTTGGTCCCAACACTTATAGCTTAACCTTTTGTACAGCAATATGTAAGATTACGCTGCGTTTTCGAAATAATAAACTGCATGTTAAACTTGAAGAAAATGGTATCAGTTGAAAATCTACAAATGTACTCCTTTGCTGATTTTCTGCCGATATCTCCATTTGTGGATTGCGAGAAGTAAATCATTTGTCAGCACGTCCCACACAGTATAACAATCCACGAGTACAAACCCCAAACAGGACCTGGCCTTGGCTGCTTAAAAGAAAGAACTCCCCCCCCCCCCCCTTGCGCCCGAAAAAAAAGAAGTGTGTAAACTGTCATTGCAGAATCAAAGCTACGACTATAAGTATGAGTAGTTTAAGTACGGGCCGTGACACATTTAAGGAAAAATAGCAAATGCGCGTAACCCACATTGTGTTCTGTATAGATAAATGTCCTCTTTTCCAACCCTCCCTCTAACCCACCATCCTCCCCGCTCCCTAGCGCTTTCTGCAAGTCTCATACACATGTGCATTTATGCAAACAGAGATAACGGGGCTACATGTACAATGACATTTCAGTGTTTTCGGCCTTCCATAAAAAAACCTATTTCGCCCGGTCTGTCCAAGTTCTGCTCCTGTGCTCCAGAGCTACAGCATGTGAGTTAGATGCCTGCTCTTTTGTGTACAGTAAGTATACAGTTGTGTAAACAAATTGGTAACAGGGTTAGATCGGGGAAACGTAGCCTTTTTGAGAGCATCCGAGCAAAGGAATGAATGGAGAACCATGATCGTAGATCTGGCACTAGATGATGATGATGATGATAGTTGTGTATTACATAGATAAATAGACAAATAGATAGACAAATAGATAGATTATAGATAGATACAAACGGAAACCTACAAAAGGGAAGTAACAGCTGCCAGAGTGAGTGGTGGGAATCATCTTCAGTCGTGTCCTTTGAATTTAAGCTAAGGTGAAAGTCTCTAGTGTGAAAGGTTAATTTTGGACGAACTTTTATTGTGTGCTGCGTGTAAACGATTACGTAATATTACGTAACACATACTACAAAACTATGGGTCAATTTTTTCTTTATCACCAAAATTCACAAACACAAAGTATTCCAAATCCAAAAAATATTTCCCTAAGTGAATCCACTTGTTTATAATCTTGTGAGCGCATGGCTTTCACTTCATGAAGAATGGTCAGGGTGACGTTTTGAAAACACCCTTTCAACTAACGGGCAGTATACAGCCACTTCACTAAAAATTGAGTGGGAATTGGTGAGTTTTTACAGTCTCAGCGTCGCAACACTTGTCTCATGTCGACCGTTGCAGGTATTCTTTGGGGGTTTTTTTTCAAGAATTGTCGAATGCCGTTTTCTCTGTGAGAACGTGCGTTTTCATGCGTGAAGATGTCTACATGAGTGACACTATTACGAAATAAGGCTAAGACGTGGCGTTCCAGCAACGTGTGCAGTTAGGTTAGTCCTCCTCATGAAGCTTACAGGGATTCTCACTACAGTGCGGTCTAAAATTCGTGGCGCAACTCATTGTCAAATACGTCTTTGTCTTATCGAACATAGATTCTCCAACAATTGCGCAGTGACTCGTATCAAATTGTCTTTACAGATCAATATTAATTTTTGTAAAGACCTGTAGGCTCTGTTCTAGAGATTTTTAAAAATAAATAAATAAGAATAAAAAATCGGCCATATTGGATTTTGTGGACATGTCTTACGTAATGAATACCGCATTTTCCCCCCATAAAAATAGGTTGATTTTTTGCATACTTGTTAGTAGCTAACAGATCTACAACATTGTCTGTTGAATTTTTTCTTAATGTATTAGACATGTTTTTATTATATTTTTTTTAATTTCTTGAGGTAGTATTCAAGTTTTGTTTTTTTATTGGGGTTATTAATTTTGTTATCACGACTCCGAATAATCTTAAGATTTTAATAGTGCAGATAGAACATTTGGTTTCTGATCTTTCCATTTTAGTTACTCATATCGGCCAATAAAGTCAGATAGAACATTGTAAAATTAAGGTAGCGATATATACCGTGGTGTCCAAAAGAAACTTGAAAATGTAATCACCCAATCACTTTCCCATAGCTTTGCACTACCAACTCACGTAACATAGTAATTCAAAGCTAGATAAATTCTGCACCATTTGACATACAAACATTTCATCTATGTTGAGAGTCGCCCGAGATATGGTCAGTAAAAACTGATATTTAAAAAATATGACTAGACTCTATGCAAAATTGTGCGGATTCAAAGAATCTCAAAGTGCGTTCCGTCGTGTATTGAGGAGCATCAACATTGGTTGAATAGACATGTATTAAATATCAAACGCATAGAGAATATTATTGATATTATTGTCTCTGTAACGAACAGCATCTTTTGAGGATATTTTCAGATTAAAAAAACAGAGCAGTCGCAAATACCACGCACATCTTGAACCTAACGTTACATACACATTTTATATACAATGGCGTCCAAAGTATACTTAAGTGACCCTTCTATTTCTCTCACAAGGTTCGTGGATGGTTTGATAGACAACAACAGTATATTCGACTATCTACGAGAGTGGGAAAGATGCATTAACGCACACCCTGACCTGAATATATGTATCCTGAGCTACGAAGATCTACATGTAAGTCGACTAGTTTAAGCTTCGTCAAGTATTATCAATTGTTATTATTATTATTATTATTATTATTATTTTGTTTGTTTAGTATAGGGTTTTACGGCGCTCGCAACTGCATAAGGTCATATGAGCGCGCGGGACACACCAAATACTTTTTCGTTGGTAGGAAATTTGGAATTTTGCCCGAGTGGCGGCCGAAGCCTACTCTTATCGATTTTAGACCACCAAGGGATCTTTAACGTGCGCAACTTGCACAGGGCCCTCAGAGATTTTTCGCCCTTGTCTGAGAAGGCTAGGTGTAGATCTTTCCTACCAGAAGATCAGGGGTGTGGCAGAAAGACAGCAGTTAGGAGGAGCCAAGGAGTAGCAGTAGAAAGGCTGCAGAAAGAGTCAGGAGCCCAGAGGAGGGGGCAAAGGAGGTGAGGGGGTGGGGACAGAAAGTGGAAATGAAAGCAGACAACAGAACATTGTTAGAGATCAGGAAAGGATGTGAAAGGATACAATTTTAGAGAAGAAAATTTTTTGGTCACTACCCGGAATCGAACCCGGGACCTTTGAATGAGAGGCCAACACCTTAACCTCTAGGCCACGAGATCCCTCCAATATTATTATTATTATTATTATTATTATTGTTATTATTATTATTATTGTTATTATTATTATCATTATTATCATCATCATTATTATTATTATTATTATTATTATTATTATTATTTTTATTATAACTATTATTATTTCCCGAACATTAATCTTTTCCTAATTTACTTATTCACCATCCCCACCCCCTCTTTTTCATCCCTCAACCACCCCCATATTCTACAAACACACTCCAACTCTCCCAGGAGAACACATTAGCAGAAGTGAAGCGACTGTCCAAGTTCCTGGGCAAGGACTATGACGACGAGTTCCTCCAGGCAGTCATCAAAGCCGCCAGTTTTGACAACATGAAGAAGGAGAAGAAGCAGACTTTTACTGACAACCAAGGGACCATCATGTTTAGAAAAGGTAACAGTTTTAATTGTTTTTGTCTTATTTTGTTTTAATAATGTATTACCTTTATTTTCAACTGGTCGCTTTTAAGGACAAACGGGTTAGCCCACATTTCGGGGGTTTCCAGAAATCTTGACCAAAAGTGGGCACTGCCCTACCTATACTATAGGAGAAGTTTGGTTTTATTGGTGTGTATATTTGTTTTGTTATAAAGAAAACTCTCCTTGTCATTAAAAGAAACTGAACAAGGGGCAAAAACTTTACATTCGATTTTCTCAAAGCAGCATTTTTCGGGATAGCCCCCCAAGTGCTAAAAAGCGACCAATTAAGAAAAATAAACGTGTGTTCCGTATTCGAAATTTGTTTTGGCCCACTATGTTTTTCAAGGGGCCTCCATACTCTCTGGGACCATTTTAGGGTGACCATGGCGCCCTGCAATAAAGCTGCATGCTTCCACCAAGATGAAAAAGGAATAGGAGAACAGATTTAACTACGATTTAGGAACAATTATGTTTGGTACACTCATGATACTGAAAAGCTAGTCGAGATAGGGAAATTTGAAAAGTGTTTGTCGATGGCCTATTGCCTGATCCAGGGTGAGAATGGCGATGATAATGATGGAGAGTTTTGGGATAAAGGTAAAATCATTACAAGCTTACAAGCAGGATGAAACAGTTACAATTTCGGATGACTTCCATCTACAATTATGTACACGGATTTTTTAAAAATCGTATGTTTAGGTATGTTGTTTTTTTCTTCTCGATTCCTCAGGTAAAGTCGGAGACTGGAAAAACAACTTCACAGTGGCTCAGAGCGAATGGTTCGACCACATCACCAGGAGCAGGATGTTGGGTTCCAAACTGTTCAAGTTCAGATATGACCTCTGATCTCGACTTCAGAGACCCGTGTTTTTTGTTTTTTTTAACCTTTCATTTGCCGAACTGTTGACTTGTTATTTAACTTCTTTAAGCATTAGTGTTGGAGTCTAACTGTTTTGTGTTTTTGTTATTGTTGTTGTTGTTGTTGTTTCTGTTGTTGTTGTTGTTGTTGTTGTTGTTCTTCTTCTTCTTCTTCTTCTTCTTCTTCTTTTTCTTCTTCTTCTTCTTCTTCTTTTTCTTCTTCTTCTTCTTCTTCTTCTTCTTCTTCTTCTTCTTCTTCTTCTTCTTTGCTGTTTTAGTTTTTGTTATTGTTGTTCTTGTTTTTGTGCAATACATGTGTATAAACTTCTAAAAACATTACAAATGTTTCACACCTACCACAGATACTTATACATTTACAAACAAACATTGACAAACAAAACGCAACAGAACAAGAACAAACAACAGACTCACCCATAATCAGAGCTGACTGTCTATGGAGACTGCTGTTTTACTGAATTCAAGATTACACTAATTACGTCACTTGTGTGTTATTATTGTAGTAATATTGGTTGTATTTCGATCTGTGACTGTATCCTTAAACATAGTAATCTAATGAGTATAGTGCTGAATACTCCATCTACCTCCCCCCACACCCCTTTCTCACTCTCTCTCTCTCCCTCTCTCTCTCTCTCTCTCTCTCTCTCTCTCTCTATCTATCTATCTATCTATCTATCTCTCTCTCTCTCTTTCTTCATACTTGAGTGTTTGTGTGTGTGTGTGTGTGTGTGTGTGTGTGTGTGTGTGTGTGTGTGTGTGTGTGTGTGTGTGTGTGTGTGTGTGTGTGTGTGTGTGTGTGTGTGTACGAACGCTCGCGCGCGTGTGTGTTAAAGTGGGAAAAGGGTTGGTGCATGGAAAGAGCATAGAAATCAAACATTTACACCTGACGTTATGTGCTAGCATTCTATGTTTTATTGGATTATTAAACATGTTTTCTATTAAACAAACAAGATTTGTGTACGTGTCTGAGTCTATTTGTATTATTTGAACAGTTTATTATTACCACAGTACGACACTGCACCAGCGATGTATTTGATTTAAGATTTATGTAGCCTCAATAGCCTAGTGGGTAGGCTTTCGAACCCTTAATCGTGAGGTTGCGAGTTTGGGGGTTCGAGCTGTAGTCCCGACGTTGTGTCCTTGGGAAAGGCACTTTATTCGAATTTTCCTTACTTCACCTAGGTAGGCATGGGTACCCGGCCATTCACAGCGAAATATCTTGTCAGTTTACTAGTGTTTTAGAGCCTATAAATGGCTGCTTGCACTGTTTGCTTCCGAGGAAGTTTAATTTTTTCAGAATGCTCTCATGTTTGCTAGGGTAATAGCACAGATTGTGAAGTGCTAAGAGCTTGCTGTTGAGCGGTGATTAGCGCTATACAAATGCTATGTATTATCTTGCCTGCAACAGCGTAGCTTTTAAAAAAAGATACTACATGAATCGATGGTTAGGGTAAGGGTTATTCCTTTTTTAATGTATTCCTTTAGATAATTAAAATCACTCGTCCTTCACCTCTCAACTGTTGCGAGAAGGCTAGAGAATTGCCTCGTCTCCTTCCTCACTATGTTGGGCACTCGGACCTACAAAAGGGAAGCAACAGCTGCAATAGTGAGTGGTGGGAATCATCTGCAGTTATTTTCCCTGAATGTAAGCCAAGTGGGAAGTCTCGAATGTGAAAGGTTAAATTTATACGATCATTTTTGTGTGGTACGTGTAAAAGATTACGTAATTTTACGTAGCATTTATGGCAAAAGTACGGGTCATTTTTTTCAATTCAACAAAATTCACAAACACAAAGTATTCCAAATTTAAAAATATTCTCCAAAGTGAATCCGCAGTGTTCATCCTGTGTGCAAAAGCATGGTTTTCACTTAATAACTTTGGTCAGGGTTACGTTTTGAAAACACCCTTACAACTGACGGGCAATACAGCCATTTCAATGAAAATTGAGTGGGAATTCGTGACGTTTTTAAAGTCTCTGCGTCAAAACACTTGTCTCATGTCGACCATTGCTGGTACAGCGAAAGATCTTGTCAGTATGTTAGTGTTCTAGCGTCTATATATGGCTGCTTGCACAGTATGCTTACCAGGAAGTTGAGGTTGTTTCAGAATGCTCTCAGGTCTACTGGTGTAATAGTATAGATTGTGAAGCGCATAGAGCTTGCTGTTGGGCGGGGATTTCCGTTATACAAACGCTATCTATTTTTTTTTCCTAGAATTTTCTAATGCCGTTTTCTCTGTGAGAACGTGGGTTGTCATGCGTGAAAATGTCTGCATTAATTACACCATGACGAATTAAATCTTAGACGTGACGTCCCAGCAGCTTGTGCAGTTAGGTTAGACCAAAGATAGTATATAACAAGATGGTCCACTCAGCCAAAAAAAGTGTCCACCGGAAGTCCTCTCTTTGCTTCAGATGGCGCTGCAGTCTGTTTTGAAGCTGTCTTTCGTTTCTTCAGAGGAAGAATAGGAATAGCACCTCCTTGCGTGCGCAGATCGACTGCTGTTCATCAACTGTTCGGATTCGTTCAGTGTGGAGTTTTAGGGGGGGGGAGGGGAGTTATTTTAATGACCTCTCGCCTCTCATTCTAAAGTCAAATTAAACGAAGAAAACAGTCGTGCCTTCCTCCGGAAGAGGTTTTTTTTGTCTGCGTAACCATTTTAAAAAAGCGTTCTTCCGAAATTTGAATTCTTATTTATTTAAAAACTTGTTAGTTTCACTTTGATTTTTTCAACACAAGTAGGGTTGCTCGACTCGCAAAGGGTGCACATTTGCAAAGAGGGCGCCACCGAATTTTGAGGACACTTTTAATGGGCTCAAAGAGAGGAGTTGACCCTCTTGTTATATAGACTCTTTGGTTAGACCTTCGCATGAAACTTACAGAGATTCTCACTAGTGGTGTTTTGTTCGTTCCTACCGTACCACCCCAAACCAAGACAATTCCATAGTCTAAGCTCCTCAATGATAAATGATTGTGTCTAAATTCAAACAGTCCATGTGAAAAAAAAGTGGTTTGGGCTCTATATAATAACAGTGTCTCCATACGCAATATCTTCACCTATCCAGTATACTGGATATCAGTCGGGGCGCTTTTGAAGATTTGGCCACCAGCTTCCTCCACTCCGTCCAGTTTTCAGCTTTCCTGAGCGTCTCTTAGACTTCCAGGCCTGTCCATTCCATGATGTTGTTCTCCCAACTCTTCTTCGGTCTGCCTCTGCTCCTTTTTCCCTGGACGCTTCCCTGCAGGATCATCTCGGCAAGGCCGGATGAATAGGTGATGTGTCCATACCATTGCAGTTTGCGTTTCCTCACCAGAGTGAGAAGGTCAGGGTATGGTCCGATTTCATTTTTGATTTGTTGTTTGACTTCATCATTTGTGGTGTGATCTTTGTATGAGATACCAAGCATTTTTCAGAAGCATCTTATCTCCATAGCTTTGATCCTTCTTTCAGGGTCTGCATTCAAGGTCCACGGTCGTGTCAGTATTTTTGTATGCATATTAAACCGGGACCTTGAATGCAGACTTTGAAAAAAGGATCAAGTAATATAAAGTCCATTTTTTACGCGCTATCCGTAACTGCGTCGTCTTTCCATGTGTTTGAAACTATTCAATTTAAATAAACTAATATTTATGAAAATACTGGAGATGAAGGGAAATAACCGAGGAAAAGGCTCGACCACCACAAATACTAAAACAAGAACGCCTCTTGCTCAACATGGTCGATGGTGGTTTGTGTTGTTTTTGTTTTTGTTTTTGTTTGCTTTGGGTTTGTTTATGGGGGTTTATTTGGTTGTCGTTTGTCCTTTTTTTTAGTTTCTTGCTTTATTGTTTTGTTTTTTGCTTTTTTTTCTAATTTATGCTTTTTTGGCAAGATGTTAGATCTTACCTAAGATCAGGGGTGTGGCTGAAAGACAGCAGTAAGAATGGGTCAATGAGTAGCAGTAGAAAGACTGCAGAAACGGTCTGGGGCCGAGAGGACGGGGCAAAGGGGATCGGGAGGGGGCAGAAAGTGTAGACGAAGGCAAGCTCAGGAGGTTCAAGACCTCCCCTACCTATCTGTTAGCCCATTACGAAGGTTAGTATTGAATGATAACAACCTAAGGACATGGTTAGATGTGGAATGGAGGTAAACGGAGACAAATTTAGAGAGGAAGATCGATGTCGCTGCCAGGTTTCGAAACTGGGACCTATTGAATGAGAGGCGAACATCGAGCCTCCAGACCACGAGAGCACCCGATGGTGGTAGTTGTGCTATCGAGAGAAAGAGAAAGAGAGAGAGAGAGAGAGAGAGAGAGAGAGAGAGAGAGAGAGAGAGAGAGAGAGAGAGAGACACTCACACAGCGAAAAAGACAAAGACAAAGACAGACAGACAGACAGACAGACAGACAGACAGACAGACAGACTCAGATAGATAGATATATATATATATATATATATATACAGAGAGAGAGAGAGAGAGAGAGAGAGAGAGAGAGAGAGAGAGAGAGAGAGAGAGAGAGAGAGAGAGGGGGGGGGGGGACAGAGAGATAAAGACAGAGAGAGATGGACAGAGGGAGAAAGCAGCGGAGAATAGGTAGGAGGGGCGGAGAGTTCACGAGTAATAATAAATGGAATACTTGGATAAAGGCTCCAGGTTCAATAAATCTTTGTAAAGTACATATCCTCAGTCATTTCCCTTCATCTCGAGCTCTTGCTCCATGGGTCTCATTAACCGATCGTTTGGCCTAAAATCTGTTGTTTTTTTAAGAACACAACATCACCTCACAAGTAAAATGTTTAAGACAAGAAACAAAACAATTGATTTTGAAGGAAGAACACTCAGTCACAATAGTAGAGGAGTCCTTTTTTATGAAGTAGGTAACAGCAGCCTGATATAACTGCTTGAGTAAGGGAAATAATTACCTTAAAAAGTCTTGTTAAACAACAGTAAAAAGAAAAACAGAAAAGTCTCTTTAATAAGTGAAAGACAAAGCTAGCAAAACTTTTAAATGTCGAAATATTAGGAAATGTTTCAAATCTTAGCAAGCCCTTAGAACGCACATTTTTCAAAATGAACAAAATGACGGATAGAAAATTTTATAAGTAAAACCATAGTATAATACAATTGTTAGTACACCGACTATATAAACGAATCGAGATACTTGATAAATGTATACGACATGTTAGGTGGTTCCTCTTCACTTCACGTCTTGTGCTCGCCACTATGGCGGCATTCTGCTATTCTTCAATTAAATTGGGTGATAAATAAAAAGCATAAATGAACTAAAAGTCAATCATCAAAAATCGAATAACTAGACTTTAAGGTTAGTATAACTGAACGATAACAGCTAAAGAATGTGACTTGTTAAATATATATATATATATATATATTCGTAGCGAATAACGCCAGAGTCGAATGATGACGCCTAAGATTTATCTAATAGTGAATAGATGTAACATATTTCTCAAACAATATGCACGCATGCGGCTGCTATCATTTCTTTGATCCTAAACGGTGATAGTCATAACTATACAGTGATGATAATATTGAAAATTTCAAATTTGTATCGATTAGTTATTAAAAGAGGTTGTCGATGTGTAACAAATAAAGACTGGAAGAAAGTATCGAAATTAATAATTACGCAATTATGACAGAGAGTTATTGAATAAGGACAAGAAGGAAGGGATCAAATAATGACATGAAGAAAAGTATCGGTTATAGACCTTGCAGATTTGCATCAAACATAAGTCGGCTAGAAAATATTGAATAATTACAGTCGGGCAATAGTGATATCTATTAATTACTTGGCAGGTGAGCTATTGACTATTTCCAGGTGTGGATTTATCAACGATATCAGAAGGTACCAGATTGACTGGGCCACGTAGGTTATACGAATAATGACACCAAGTGATGAACTGAACAGGCAAGGGTCCTATCGAAAAATGAACGGGCAGTGAGGTATGTATATTGTCGTGAAAGGCAGTATTGAAAAATGAACAGGCATCGGAAGCATTGAATAATATAGGGCTAGGGCTAAGCTTAGGGGTTGAAGAGCTACCCTACCTTTGTGCCAGCCCAGTACGTCCATGAAACATAGTAATCACCCTCAAACCATAAAATCTCTTTAACACCAATAACTTTCAGAATATAAAACATATTTCTGACCCGGCATCCATCCAATCCAGCAGGAAAGTCAAGGACTCTTCGGTGAAGGACTAGTGGTATATCCTGATGAGTCACGGAGGTGAACCCCGCAATTTTCTCCCAAGTGGACAAATCAACCACAGTTGGAGCCGGTTCACCCAACGCGTGTCTACCATAGCTCCAGAAAAATGAAAATAGGGTTAGGGTTAGGGTTAGGGTTAGGGTTAGGGTTAGGGTTAGGGTTAGGGTTAGGGTTAGG